AAGATCTTAGGGTTTTAGGAGTTTACGGCCAAGGAAAGATCTTGGGCCGTAAACCCCTTTTCTTGTGTTAAAATGCCACAAACACCCCTAAGGCCTTAAGACAATTTACCTTGAACACATGGGACTTGAATGGGGATCAAAGACTTCATAATCACTCCTTAAAAGGAGTTTACGGCCAAGGAACATATCTTGGGCCGTAAACTCCAAGTGATGACCTAAATGTGTGCATCTTGTCCCATTAGCCTTAGATAAAATCATGGAAGCCATCCTTGATGTGCAAGTGCCTCAAATGAATTAAAAGCCATCACCCATAGGAGTTTACGGCCGTAAACTCTAGGGTATATGGACTATAGGCCGTAAACTCCCCTATGGAGCATTCTAGGGCCTTAAACTACTTCATGTATTATTCCAACAAAGCTAGAAGTGTTCTTGGATCAAGATAACACTTTAAAACACCCAAAACCACCATGTGAGGAGTTCACGGCCATAAACCCATGAGTTTACGGCCGTAAACTCCAAAGGGTGGGGTTTGTTGGGTGGTGAACTCTTATGCAAGGCCATTTGATGTTTCAAACCCTTTTGCCTTGTCCCGTATCAACTTAGATGCAACCATTAGGACCTATAACACTTATACAAAGTGTATACATGTTCCTAATTGTGTTAACTTACTTTGTTAAGTTATTATGTGGCTAATTAGTTATATATATGCTTATTATATGATAACTAGGCTCGAACGTGTGAACAAGTCTCCGTTTGACACTTAGCACGGTACCCGATACATCAATTCAATCTACTCACCACAAGTGAGTTTATACCCCTTTAATCAACCTTTGAAATACTTTTAAATGTTTTAAATACTTTATGGGGGGGAATACAAGTCAAATACTTATAGTTATTACATCAATCACATGTGATTGCATTAATCACATGTGATTAATAACTAGAAAACCAATGATTTTATCACTGTTCAACTGTTTATCAAACTGTTTCACTTCAAATGTTTTACAAACTCTTTTTACTTATCAAATGCTTTTATTAAACTTTGTTTTATTTCTTATAAATTGCATGCCCATATATGTATATATATAAGTAATGTTTAAAGGGCTTAGGAAGGCCATCCGCCCTATTTCCTTTTCGCGCACTGAGATGTGGTCTGGTGGGATTTCGGGTGACCATCCGAAGGTCGTTTCAACATTAGTTATATATCATATATACATGTATAGACATAAAAGTACTTCCATATTCATATTTATCAGTACATCAATAGTTAGTTACCATCGGGGTAACAATACATATACATATACTAGAAACAATACATATACAATGATGCTAGAAACAATACATATACATATACATATACTAGAAACAATACATATACAATGATGCTAGAAACAATACATATACATATACTAGAAACAATACATATACAATGATGCTAGAAACAATACATATACATATACTAGAAACAATACATATACAATGATGCTAGAAACAATACATATACAATGATGCTAGAAACAATACATATACAACTATACTAGAACGAGAAACAGTACATATACATGAATACTTTATTATTGTGATTTAAATCGGAGCATGACTTAACTGTCATGGCTCGAGTTGTAGCCAGAATTCTCTTGAAGGGAGAGCGTGAGTTTGCGTATAGATCTATACTGGATTGACAATCCTACACCTTGCTGCTAGCTACAGCCGGACCTGCAGGTCTGCGGGTGCCAAACGTCATTCCGTTATTACGACCATTCATTTGTCGTTGTTACTAGTCGATAGTATGGTGCAATTTATCACGTAATGCCTTAATATAAATCCGGTTTAAGGTAGTTAGTACAACAGTAGTTCTTATAATACAAGGCTACAGTACTACAATAATTTACCCATTACATATTTTTAGTGATAACCTCACTTAAACGTTTATGTACAAACTATATTTTGTTAAATGATAGTTACATTTGGGAAATTACACACTTTTACATCAAACGAGCATACAAAACAGTTAAGCCTTGGTAGAAGGCTACTTTAATAGAAAATATAGGTTTTTCTGAGAGATTCAAACTTTTACAAACAATTGCAAACCTTTACATACATTTTACAAACTTATACTTTATACATGTTCAAACATTTTTGGATGACAAATACCGACACTAAAATACTTATGAACTCACCAGCTTAATGCTGATAAACTCTTTCAAAATAACTTGTATTCTCAGGTCATCAGTAGACAGGTACCGAGGCCAGCTTTTGAGAAGATGGAGCGCATTCAAGACTCATCTTATTATTTTGATATACGTTATTTTTGGTGTCTATAATGTACAGAACACGCTTGTATTAAAATTATATATTTAATGCAATGGATGATGTTGTTTGCTTATTTACATTTACTGTGTTGTGATACTTACATGACGTCCTCCGCCCCAGAACGTTTCCGCCGTTCTTGGTTTTGGGGTGTGACATACGCTGGGCGTACTCTCGCATCGTACAACATGCTTCATACTTCGAATGGTGGTGCATGGCTCATTTGGGTTCGCAGAACACAGCTGCACGCTGAGCGTAGTCACCTCGTACACAGGGTGTACTTCGGTACGCTTGGCGTTCGAAGCTACGCTGGGCGTACCCTCCTCGCACAACTTCGTGATTTCCCACTCCAACTTCAAAAACTCATATCTTCCGCATCCGAGATCCGTTTTCGACGTTCTTTATATCCATACGTAGGCAGGAATGTACTCTACAACTTTCGTTTAGAATCTGTTGGCTAATTTTGACTTTATTTTAAATTTTATATTTTTAATAGGTCGGGACAGGATTGGTCCGTTAAAAATCCATAACTTCTTCATCCGACATCCATTTTCGTCTTTCTTTTTACAGTTATGGTAATATTAACGAGATCTTCGATTCTCGTTTAGGTTGTGTCGGCTAAATACTGCTCGATCTAATATTCGAACTCCGGGTTGTACACTGCTAAGCCGAAACTTCGAAAAATCATAACTTCCTCATACGAAGTCAGATTTAGGCGTTCTTTTTATGGATGCAGTTGATTTAACGTATTCTACGATTTTCATTTAGATCGCTAAGGATAAAAATAGCTCTACCTTAAATTCACTATCTACGCTTTCCGGTGTCGTGTCGGTTCCATCGCGAAACTTCGACGAGCCATAACTTTTTTGTTACAACTTGGATTTCGGCGTTCTTTATATGTACGCAACCCTTGTAACATATACTACAACTTGGTTAAGATTATTTATTCTAAATAATCTTTTGTCAAAAAGTCGTTTTCGACCCCTATTATCTCTAAATTGACTAAACCGGATCTACGAACGTTACAGGTTGAGTCTTGAAGAGCAAGGTGGTGAAAAAGTATATGGAAGAAGAATTCAAGTATAGATCCAACAAGATTACATCATTCTTGTACCATTTTGAGTAAAAATATTCTAACTTACTCATTGGTTTCATAGATCTAGTCATTTGTCATATTTGCCAATTTTTGGTCATTTTAGTGCATAAAGTTTAGATCTTGAAAGTTTGTGACCTTGTTATGGATAAAGTTGGAAACTTTATCCATCTAAACATCATAATGATTCAGATACGAAGGTTAGAGGCTTGGACTAAATGGATTAAGATGAGAAAGATGCATTTGTGGTCCCTTTGAGACTTAGAGACTAAATATTGGTTGTGTTTGGACCATCCTAATGGATAAAGTTGGAAACTTTATCCATTATGGAGCTATCAGGAACCATACTTGAGCTTTGAGTGAAAGGTCTTAATGAAATAAGTGCTTAGTGTGAGTATTAGAACTTGAGGCAATGCGTCATGTGTAATTGAGGCTACACCCCGCGTAGCCTAACTGAGGCCCATTTTTGGATTGAAGCTCTACGCCCAACATAGAGCTAGACTATACAGTACGTAGGTCAACAAAGGGTTGACCGTTGACTTTTTGACAAGTTTGACTTTTGGTCAACTGTGATGGGTTTAAGACTTTGAAGGGGCAAAATGGTATTTTGCTCAAATAAGTGTTAGCCCTGTTATTTTTGGACGCGTTAAGTTGGAAATTTTCCTTTATTGTTAATCGGGATTGTTTTAGTTCTGTCTAGAGTGATGGGCTTTTGATAGCAGCAACCCGAGTGTGTATTTTACCGACTATCGATTAAGGTGAGTCTTCTCACTGTATTTATAGGTCGAAGGCACTAATGTCGGCCCACTAAATTATGTTATGTAGGATGCTAGTTGTCTTTGTAATTCTTGCATGTATGATTGAGTTGAAATATATCACAAGGCTGGGGTCCTAGGGTCGGGCTCATAGTTGTATGTTTGGGTTGAAAGAAACCCCATGGCTAAACATTGTATGTTTGGGTTGAAATAAACCCCAGGGCTAGGCCCATGGTTGTATGTTGGGTTGAAACATACCCTAGGGTTGGGCCCACTGATTAGTATGATGTGAGGTATTCTGGAGATCTCACTAAGCTTCGTGCTTACGGTTTATGTTTAAAATGTTTCATATACTTCTGGTTTCAGAAGGAAGAGTCCGACTTGATTGCACTAAATCCCCAGAGATTTATTCCCGCATTGAATTTTTACAATTTACTCTGATGTTTTGTGAATATTTGACTATGATCGTCTTTTGGAACAATAAATGAATGATTTTAACTCATTTAAAATTGAAAATTTTATTTGGTATTTTTGGGACGTTACACTGAGTATGTGAATCGCCTAAATCGTTAACCACTTTGACACAAAGCAAAACAAATTTTCTGAAAGTCTTAAGACGACGTAACCTAACTCGTTCAGGGTCATAAACCAAATTGCTTTTCTTGGGTGCAAACTTTCTTTAAAAATAATACTATGAATATCCTCATTTTTAGCTTATGCCTAGACAATTTTACTTAGGTTTTTTATACAATAAAATATTTTTATTATTTTACATATCAATTTTTTTTATTGATTACTTAACTTAACATAGCAACAAAACCATAACATCATGCCATTTATTACAACTTATTATTTTGATTTCAATATTTCATTGAATACCCATCTTGATTTAATTCGGTACTATTGGGAAACGATTGTTTAGAAAGCAAGGAGACTCATGTTCAGTTGCTGATTTGGTGCCCTAGCCCTAGACTTATCTTCCTTCGTAAATCTGTAAATCCTGATAGTTTCTTCTAAATCTCCATAGCCATCCAGGACCTTGACCAATTTCGTGCACTTTTTTTGACTCTTTACAACCTTTCATCTTTTATTTCCTTCCCCTCCTCCGCCTCCCCACCAGATACCAAAGAGGGTCTGCGTCTGTGTGTGAGAATAGATAAGGAATGATATACATCCTAGGGTTCTTAATTTTTTTGTGTGCGGATGAATCGAAATCTTGTATGTTAGAACGCGTTTATGTTTGATCGGTCGTTTGCTGATGGTGAAACCTAAGAAGGAACGATTTTTTAAAGAGGTTTATAATGCCACTGAGATCATTTGATTCCCAAGGCATGTTCCTTAAAGCCTTTTGCCTAATTTCATCTATGTTACATTTATCACTTGCTTCTAGGGTTATATTATTGATCCATTTTTAGTTAATTACTTCATATAACCTTTCTCTTTATTATTAGGTTCAAAATTCGTCATTGCAATATAACTCTGGAGATGTTTTATTCTTTTAGTTTGATGATGATGTTCATTAGTTCCTGCTGGCTTTTGGTGGCTCAAATTTCCATCCTCCTGACGTTTTTGACTAGTTTGCTTAAAGAGTCTTAAGTGTTTGTCTGAATCCATAGACATAAAACCATCAAACCTTTATCCCAAACTAGTTGTGGTAGGATGAGAAATGAATACCTCTTGAAATCATAAAGAAATGAACCAATCCTAGGCCTTTGAATTGTGTTGGCATATGATAGTACTGATTTTATGTCATTGACTTGCTGTTTCATGAAATGATGCTCTCATTGCAATTCTTTGTGATAATAGCATAACTAATTCTTTTTTGTTGTTGTTCCTGATGTCTGTGTAGGTGTTTTTCAAGTTGATAAAGGAGTTAGGAGGCCTTTCTGTATCAAAAGCTTAATTTGAAAGCGGAGTGTGTTGCATGTTAAGTTAGATCTGATGGAAAAGGCTGATGAAATATCTGATAAACTTGATCGGGAACCAATTAATGATGTTACAATTGGTAAGAATAGAACTTCCGAGAACAAACAGCGTACAACTAGTGAAACAAGCAACTTAGAGAGTGTGAGTTCAAGTTATAGCACTGAAAATGCTGAAAGTAAAGTTAATATGAAGATTAGTGATACAAAGAAGTTCAACTATCCTAATGGTTTAGAACATCGTGATGAACCAAACATGTTGTCTGGCTCTGTTATTCAGAACACAGTGCCTTCTTCATCAACTTCCATTGATGTAGAAAAATCTTCACACAGCTCTGATGAACATGAGAATATTAAGGTTAGTGTAGGCAATCAAAAGGATATAGTGACTCAAACCCAAAAGAAAGAAGTGGGAACTAACAACGATGATGGTAACTTACCCGAAGATCCTTTAAAAGAACAAGGGGTTGAAGAAGAAAAGGTCGAAAATGCCCCTGCTGCAGTAAACGTAAAGGATTCATCTGCAGATGACAGTGATGAATCAGATGTTGTGGAACATGATGTCAAAGTGTGTGATATATGTGGAGATGCAGGCCGAGAGGATTTACTTGCTATATGTTGTAGATGCATTGATGGTGCTGAACACACGTAAGATTATTACCTCGTGCTGAATCTTTTTGTATTACTAAAGATGTTAAATTTGTTAATTTCTTTTGTTATGTCAGCTATTGCATGAAGAAAATGATAGATCAAGTTCCTGAAGGTGATTGGTTATGTGAAGAGTGCAAATTGAGTGAAGAAAATAAACGCACAAACTCTTCTGGTCAAACAGATACAGAACCTGCTTCCACCTTTATCAAACCAGGATCAAAACGTCCAGCTGGCGAAGAACCTAGGGCTAGTAAAGATCAAATCAAAGTATCTGGAAAAAGACGTTTAGAAGAATCAGAGTCTTTTACATCTGTTAAAAAACAGGCTCTTGAAATGATCACAGGTTCACCAAGAACATCCAGTCCCAGTAGACTACATGCAGTTACTGATAGTCCACGCTTACAATCTTCAAAAGGTATACACTAAACCCTAAACCCAAAACCCTAAGGTACTGAATGTCTGTGTCTTATGCCACACGTTTCTTTCAGGTGCTTTCTTCAAGTCAAATTCATTCAATTTCTCGAATGCAAAATCCAAGACAAGACTTGTAGATGAAATTGTTCTTCAAAGGCAGAAATCTATCAAAGAACGTGACTCTCATGATTCCAGAGAGATGGGAAAATCAACATCTTTTAGATCTACAAACACAGGGCGTTTTGGTACAAGTGGTTCTAAAGTTAAAATGTTATCTCCAAATCCGTCTCATGTTCCAGATCTTAAGAGTTTAAAAAACAAAAAAGAAAGGAGTTTTGAAAGGAGCAATTCAATTAAATTACCATCCGTGAGTAATTTAAGTACTTCCAGTTCTTCTGGTTTGACTCCAAAAGTTGATAAATCACAAGTATCTTCCCCTGGGGTTGGAACTGCATCTAGTGGGAATGGAATCACCAATTCTATGGAACCAAAGCCTGTTGTTTTGAAGGATGAAAATACATCAAAACAAGTAGTAAATAAGGAATCAACAAATCTTGCTGATGGTGTGAAGGAAAGTAGTAATAGTACGGGTTTGACCCCTGGGACATCTGGTTATAAACATACGGGTCATTCTGCACAAACTCACACAGCTGATAAAGTACAAGTTTCTAATGCATCGGGTGTTAGGAATACAAAAGAGGTGAAAAACAGAGATAACAAGTTAAAGGATGCAATTGAAGCAGCATTGCTTAAGAAGCCCGGATTAGTTAGAAAGAATAGAGTTTCTGATCAGTCTGATGAATCACCTGCAGAGGTGTTGACTGATTGTCAAGGTCAACTTTCACGAAGTTCCAGTGTTGACCATTCTAAACAGTCAAACGGTAACAATTTAAAGCATTTTGAAGGAAAGCATTCAACAATGGAGCTATCTAGCTATGATCCTGTGTCAATGTCTTCTTCACTTTTGAAAGTTCCAGCTATTCCTGATCACGAATACATCTGGCAGTATGGTTTCTTTTATATGGCGTGCTTTTTTTATTCTTCATCTGTGATCTTGTGTTTAGTTGATAAACATTGTTAATGTTAATTTGCAGGGGTAGTTTTGAGATTAATAGAAGTGGTAAAACAGCTGAATTCTGGGATGGGTTACAAGCTCATTTGTCAACCTGTGCATCGCCTAAAGTGTTTGAAGCTGTGAACAACCTTCCCCACAAAATTCATCTAAATGGGGTGTCTCGCATTAGTGCTTGGCCAGAGCAATTTGAAAATAGTGGTGTAAAGGAGGACAACATTGCACTCTATTTCTTTGCTAAAGATGTGGAGAGGTAGCATTTAATTTAATTTTATTCTCCATTTGTTCCATCATTTTTCTGTTTAATGTTGAGTGATGACCTTCCTGTATACTATTATTATGATACAGCTATGAGAAGAGCTACCAGGTTTTGCTGGATGATATGATCAGGGGTGATTTAGCTCTGATTGGAAGTATCAATGGGGTGGAGCTCCTGATATTCCCATCCAATCAGCTTCCAGAGAAAAGCCATCGTAAGACTAGCTTCGATTTGGCTTTCAAGATTTTTAATAATGTATATATAATGTTGGTACCTTGATATAACTTGGATTTCTTATAAACCATTTACAGGTTGGAATATGTTATTCTTCCTTTGGGGTGTGTTTAGAGGAAAGAAGAAGAAAGCTGATCATCCTGCAAAAAATGTTGCTTCTTCCATCCCAGCTGATAAAATCTCAACGGTTGAGGATGTGCCTTTGCCTTTGCCTGGGTCTATGGACAAGGTATTGATCTTCCCTTGAACATGTATAGTAAGTATAAAACTTGATGTTACATGAGGTCTTGATTTGATAATTGATAGATATCACTGTCTCTTCAGTTGCCTAGTAGGGCCAATGTTTTAGGCAAGCAAGTATTGTGATTGTGAATTTGTGAGTGATGCTAAGAAATCCAATTCATTGATAGATCATCCTCATGTTAGTTAGGTTCTTAGACACAAACACTCATGCACATATTTGACTCTCTAATTGTGTTTGTTTTTTTGTTGATGTCTATGCGTAGTTGTGCTTGTTTTGATACCCGTAAGGGATTTAAATCTCCAAAATAGAGAAAGAAACTAAACTATGATAAAAGAAATTAAATACCTAATTTAGACAAGTATGGTTTCCCATTATCAAAAAATCGGTCCTCCATCACTTGAATTCCCCCTTTCATTTCAACATGAGTTAAGACATGTGTGGGTGTTGGATAAAATGTCTCAAAACTTCCAACTTCCAAGTGGTTAGGATAAAAAGGAAAAGCTGTAGATATTATTATCTTATATCTTATTTTGGAGGAGTTGTTGACTGCTCATATCATCCTATCAATGAGTTGCATTCCTAAACTCGTTTGTTATGTGTCGAGTTGAAACACTAAAAGAGTGGGTATGGGTATGGTATTTTATCCTCCCCATTTAATACCTGATTAGCCGGGTGGGGATGCACAAAATTAGGCCAAACAGCATGAAAACCCAACCCAATTTCATTCTCTGTTAGTACTACATACGGGTAGCTGCTTTATTTATCCTCTCGTTTGAGAATGATGAGACTTGTTTTTGGTTGCACTTACAGGATAAACATGTTGATTTGGAGTCAAAGGTCAACTTAAAGCTGCCAACCTCTTCTTCATCTTCACAGGAAAAGGCGACCATTGATAGCACTGTTAATGTAGTTCCAGCAGAGACTGTCTCTTTCAAACCCGACATCAATGAAACTCTATCCATGTCAATGTCAGTGTCGTCAAATAAAACTGATGATAGTCAACATCCAGTAGTCAAGTACACTAGAAATCCAAAGGTGGAACAGATACAATCATCATTTCTGCCACAAGTTCCAACCCAGGAGCTAATCGAATCCAAAAAACGTGCGTTTATCGACCTCTCAGAAGACGATGATGACATCACCACCACCACGACCAATCAAAATCAAACAAACACGTGGCGTGATGCAAGCACTCGAATCACCATGACAGAAAGCAAGAAACAAAAGAGCGATGCTGCTGATACATATGAGATGCAAAATAGTAATTCTAATTCAGCAAACATTTTCAAGAACCAAAAAAGTGAGGTTGAAAAGACAAGTAATGGTGAAAGGTTCTTCTTCCCTGTAGATATTAATTCAGCATTTTCTCCGGATACGGATAGGGTTGGGCTTGGTTTGGATTTGAATGAAGATATAATGACGAAAAAGGACGATGATGATATGGATGATGACATGTCGTCTTCTTTATCACTTTCTCTTGCGTTTTCACCTGGAAAGATTTCAAAGGATGAGGGTAACAACAACAACCGTCATTCTACAACACCTCCTTCCATGCTTCTTTTTAGGGACATAGTAGACGAGTAAGGATATGATAATTGATATAATAGATGATGATGATGATGATATACAGGCGTTGTGAATAATGGTTTCGAGCCAGCATATTCCCAAAATATCTTTTAATACTTGTTTTCGTATTGTGTTTACTTGTGAAACAAAAATTTTTGTTTGATTTTTTACAGCATGAGGTGAAGTGAAACAAATGAAAATTTGAACTTGGAGGGAGGGGGTTATTGGTATTTGTCCAAACACTCTGCGATGCAACTTAAATTATTTATGTACAGGTAAAAAGAATACGCATAAATAAATAAAATAAAAAAAAACATATAATTTATAACAATGTAGAAAATGTTTTCTAGACTGAAAATATATATAAACTCTGCTATACGTCCGATCAAAACATATTATGTAGATAAAAATGAAACAGTTTCAATGATATATCTTGATTTATACAAAATATATGCAATATGTTTAAGGGTATAAATAAAAGAACATACTTTATAATGACAAACGAAACGAATTTTGAGAATTGAAATATGTTAGATTGGATAAATTTATATAGATAAAAATGATACAATTTGAATGATATATTTAGATTTATCTTGAGTATCTCTTCTCTTCTCTCTACCTAATAAAAACCTCCTTAAGGTGCCACATGTCCCTCTAATAACTCATAACAATCCACGTGTCATTTCCTCATCTTTTCTCATAAACTAATTCCTGCCTAAAACATTATTAACGGAAGTCTAAGGAGTTTAAGTCAAAAGTCAATACATTCAAATACAATCAAACTCAATTTTAAATTTCGTTCAAATCAAATAACTATCCCATAAAATTAGGAATATCCCTTGATTCCGATATATCAACTACCATAATTTTGATATTGATTGTCGCAAAATTTAAGCAATCGTAATATTATCCAAATTTAAACCTCTATATTGCAGTTTTTATGAGATCACAATTACACCTTCTACCGATTGCATCTTTTACCGATTTCCCAAATCAACTTCAATCGTTGGGTTTTATTAGTTTACTTTGTGATTTGTGATTCGTGTGCTGCTCCTTATGATCCGATTAGGTTTTAGTTATGACGTTGATTATTGTGAGGTAAGTCATCCATACTGTATTTTGATTTTAAGTTTCAATTTTGTGTTTTCTAGCTTGAGGTTGGTATATGAAATTGCTTATTTGAATGTATGTTTGTCTATGCGTCATTATTTTCTTTTAATTTTATGTGGATTTCATGTGTAAAACCTAGATGCTACCAATAAAGAACTTTTTTTATTAATAAAAAATATTTTTTCCTCCGATTGTAGACCGTGTATGTAGATCTGGGGCGATTGATCTCATTTGCTTCGACTATATGTTGACTGTTACTCCATGTGTTGAGATTGAAGTAAGCGATTGTTCCTTTTTTTTTACTTAATAATTGATGTGTGGGTACTGCTGCGTGTGTTAGTCACATACTTCAATTATGAAAATCATAATTATATACATATTTATTTCTTCATTTCAAATGAAGTTTTAGAAATCTAATAGTTCGTTGGTTGTTGTATATGCTTTTATATTAAAGATATTTGTTGGAAATGTGCTCAAATGGTAGCAGCAATCTGTTCAAATGTGCTGGTATGTTTCAATTTGTAACTTTAATAGATAAAAACATAATGATATAAGGATTATAATATTATTTACCATTTAAGCATCCATTTTTCTTCAATACAACGAAATTTTTAAATCCAATATTATTTTAGTATAAATGTACATACATGTTTTTTTTTTTATTATAACGCGGATAAAGAGAAATAACATAACAAAATATGCAAATTAACTATTATCATATAATAGTAATTTTTTTTGTTGAACTTTATTTTATGTAGCTGTAAAAACAATCACACATATTTCCAAAATATACAATATATAAAAATAAAATAATAAATATATTTTAATAATTTACAATATTAAAAAGTTATGTGAATATGTTCCAAACAACAATACTCAAGTTGTACGACCAAGAAGAAAATTACAAGTAATAGCAACCAACTTTTGATTACTACACATGTTAATATCAACTTACTTATTTCTGTCTTTTTTAATTTAGGAATGGTATAATCTGTGAATTAACCATTGATGTGATTTTTTGACAGTTTGTGTAATAAACTAAAGGGAACATAAGCAAATCATATTTATTGATTACACGTATTAGCAACCTACTTTCAAAGTATCATGTTATTATGAGTAAACATTAACTATGCTTCCTAAAATTTCAATAAAACCAGCTTATTTATTTATTTATTTATTTGCTATTTTCAGCTTCCTTATATAGCAACATACCACATATTTTAGTTTTTAGTTGTTTTAGATCTAGGGACCATTCGTGTAAATTTTTTTACATTGATGATCTTTTTAATACTCTTTTTTCACCATTGCTATATCAGTAAAAAGCAACGTACTGCCATTTCATATATTTTATAAAATAATGACCATTTACATAATTCATTGAATAGAGACTATTCATTATAAAAAAAAGACCATTTTCATAAGCTCCGCTAAATAGGGACCATTTTTGTAACTGTTATATAGCAGGGACCATTACTCGTGAATGATAAACTTAAATGCAATAAATAACAATCTACTTTAAATATATGATGCTATTAGAAGGAAAATGGAATATGTTTAGTAAAATAACTCCAAGACGTTAAAAATGCTCAAAATGACCATTTTATATGTACACTAAAATCGAAAAAGAATTGAACCATTACTGTAAAAAGAATCTTTTAAATAATGTCATTTTTGCCATTTGTTTTAAGATGTGCATGTCAATGTATGTATGTGGATGTGTGTTTCTATTCATGTGTGTGTTTGTATGTTATTGTGGCTGTCGGGCAGGGGGTATGATATTATCACTTATTTTTACTTTTGATTAAAATGCAAGTTATAAATATAAGGGGATGGTGTAATCTTATTGCTTATTTGCTACTATTGATTAACATGGAGGTTAATAGCAACTTTCTTTCTTTCTTTTTGAATTGATGAAGGATATAATTGATAAATTGATCATTCGTGTATTTTTGACATGAACTATTTGTGTAATATACAAACTTTGTTTTTCATTTAATGATATTTTTTCTTTTTTTGGATAGATCTTATTAATATACTTTTTATTTTTCATTATTATTCTTCTTATCTATTTAATTTATTAAAATTCAACTAAACTTTTTTTTATATTTATTAAGAGTAAAGGTTGCACTAAAAGTGACTCTAATAAGAGAACAAGATTTATTATAGGATGATTTCATTTTGAAAATGTGTGCCATCAACTTATGGACCCTTCGTTCTATAACAAAGACAAAGACTGAATGTTTTTTCATTGAATTGATTTTTTATATTTATTATGTTTTTTTTTTACTCTATTCAGATTTATATTGTGTTATACAAAGTCAAATTTTATAAAATATCTACAAATACAAAACATCAATTGGATATTCAGAATACATATCTTTATAATTAATAAATATTTTATTATCATTGATTAATAATTAGCTTATGATTTATTTATAATTTTTTTTTTCCTTTCATATCCGTGGTGTCCACGGGTTATAACCTAGTTACCTAACTAATAGAAGTTATAATAGAAAAACGTACGGAACATCTTAAATTAATTATTGAGAAAAAAATAATGAAAAATGAATATTGTTACTGCTCATGCATGCAAAATTGTTTGAGACAAATTTATGTATTATATAGATTCAAATGAAACCGTCTCATGATAGATTTTGATTGATACCCAGTAGTATTACATTATGAAAGTTGTGATAGAAAATCAAACTAATCAACTTGAATGATTTATAAAGGTAAAAAGATACGCACAAAGAAAAATAAAACGTGCTTTATAATTATATAAAAAACAATATTTAGACCGAAATATGTTAAGCATGATATGTGTCAGATTAAAACAAATTCATGTTATGTAGATAAAAAAAATGAGGCGTTATCAACGATATATTCAAATTTGCGTATTATATAATACGTAATAGTTAAAACATACTTTATAATGATATAAAGAAAAAAGAAAGCATACTTTATAACAGTATAAAGGAAATGGGTTTTGAAACCAGAAATACGTCTTTTGAAACCAGAAATACGTCTTTTATGCTTAAACTAAGTTTAAGTTTAGAAATCCTACAAATTCCTAGTTCGCTTAAACTAATGCTCTGATACCAACTGTGACATCCCCAAAATCTTGGCCAGAAAAGACCGTTTTCATTTATGCTTTTTAAAATAATTTTCAGAGTAAATCCTTTTAATTTTAAAAGAGATGCGGAATTTGTTCCTAAAAACAAAACATGATAAAATAGATATTTATCAAAACATTTCATAAAGAAATATGATTTCATTTCATAATCAAAAGTCGGGATGTCATGTTCCGATCCAGGTCATAAAGCATAAACGATAACATTACAAGTCGTTCAACAAATATATACATATACAGACTTGTAAACAAAAACAACTTGATGTTCGCCCATCTTAAGCTCTTGCGCCACTTCCTGTAAAATAAATCAACTGAGTGGGTCAGGCTTGGGAGCCTGGTGAGCATATAGGGTTTTCAAACCCACAATAATTATATTTAATTTCAACAATCAACAATAAACCCGATTACCCATTCCCGTTATCCTCACCTTACGTTCCTAAAAATAACGTCTATTATAAGGAACTTATTTCAGGATTTTTCATCGGGACGGACATTACTGCAGAGGGGCTTCCTCAACAATAAGTGTCCTAAAGGCAACCATGTGGGGGATAGAGTACACCGGTGAACACGTCGTTCACAACACCTACAGGTAATGAGCCTGCTAGTGTTCCACAGGACAGTCTAGAATAGTCCGTGGTCGTCATCCATACTCTGCTGAATGACTAGAATAACACCAATAACACCGAGGCCTCTCATCTGTTTATTACACACCAATTATCTACCCATGTTCTACCCAACATATTAGTAGATAAAAATTATACGTTTTTATACATAGTTAAAAAAACCTGTATAACATGCTTTAAGCAATACATATTCCACATAACAGATGAGGCATACACACATAACACGTATTTCATAGAGAATACCTCAGATCTATAAGATAGAAGAGAGTGAATATACACTCACACGTATAACAACCAAATATATACACATAACACGTATT